TATAAATATTGTTGCATTATTAATTATCTGCGAAAATTTATTGCAAAAATATTTGTGCAATACTATAAAAATATTCTAATATTAACGACTAAAAAATGTCATGTACTAATTTTTATATTGAATAACAAAAAATTATATTGTCAAAATACATCTTATTTAAGATAGCATAAAATAATTTTTACATTTTTCATATATAACTCAGTTACAAAACATGACTTATTTTTTTAATTGATCTATTTATCATTTTTTTTCATTTATTATATCTAACTTTATATTATCGTATGCTTACAGTGCTACTTAGCTTTATTGCTTTTATTTTTTCTATTTTATAATAAACGGTATATCTTTCTTATATATAAACTTTTTTTAAATTTTTTTATCAATTTATAAAAATAAAAGAATAAAAGAAACTTTAACATTTATACAAAGAAAATTTTTTCATAATATTTGTTTTAATGAGGAAGAATTATTAACAATATTGTTAGTTATTTTTACATCATCATTTTCAGAGTAAATCAATTGCTAATGCAGTATATGAATCGCTGTGGTATGATTTACTGACAAATCAAAAGAGAACTTTAACATTCATAATAATGAGATCTCAGAAACAAGTCATGATCACGGCAGGGAGGATCACGAACTTATCTTTGGAAACTTTCACGAGCGTAAGTTTAAAAAATATATTTTTTTGATAGTTAAATGAAATTATGTGCACTTTCTAAAAAATACACATTTCTAAATTAATTTTTAAAATTTCTTTTAGATCTTAAAAGCATCAATATCATATGTATCTGTTTTACATGCGATGTATTGATGTTAACTAATGATTTAGTTGAAACCATGATATTATTATTATTATTATTAGTATAATATGTTAATTTCTATGTAATTTACAGAATTGTTATATTATTAAACTACTTTCGATAAATTAATAGTGTTAAGAATTTATGCTGCTTTAATATTTATATATCTATAGGTTGTGCAATCTGGAATATTTATGAATATATATTTTAAGATTTATAGATTAGTTTATTGATTTATAGATTGTACAATCTAAAATTATATTTAATTTAATTTAAATTTAAATATTCCTATCTGTTTTTTCCTTATGTTTAGTCTTGTATGTTAAAGTATTTTTTTACTCAGAAATAAAAAAAAAGAAATAAAAAAGAAGGAATAGGAAGATACCTTTTTATTGTGTCCAATATTGAGACTTTGTTCTAGATCTGATGTGTAGTTTATATTAGCACATCCGTTTGTATATAATT